TCTTTCAAATATCTCGAAACTGTCATGTGAGATACATTGACACTTTTTGCTGTCAGCCTAGTTGCCAAAGTTCTCAGCGACAAAGACGTGTTTCTTCGAATGTACTGACCGATGGTTTGTGCTGCGCCACGCGTAATTTTTTTAGGTCGGCCATTACCTCCCTTATGCACGATGCTGCCAGTTTTTTTTTTCAATTTTCCAATATTATAATAGATTGTTGATGGTGAATATCTTAGTCAGAATGTGCAGATTTGACACCCTTGTTCCAAAAATGTAATATAGCTTGACATTGTGCTTGCTTTTCGGCAAAAGACATTTTGAAAAAAGTTACATAATAATACCAAAATAAACCTTCATTATATAAAACAAAACTTCGCGTTTGTTTTGAATTATTCGCGACGCAATTTGGATCCAAATTGGGTGAGTTAGAACTGTTACATTACGCGATAATTTTTTTGTTACACGCTGTACTTCTTTTCCGACGCTTAAACACGGATGCGCTTTTTCTGTTTGGTTGCTCCTTTTCCACGAACGTCTAGACAATCCGGAATCAGACATGCAGAGGATGAATAAAGAGTTTCGCAACAGCGTCATAATTATTTTGTCTGAATAATGGTAACGAATAAACAAGACATTTTCCCTTTTTTGCTGCCCATAATTTCAAGAGTAGTAAAACTCTATTTCTTATGATTTACGCTTTGCCATTGCAGTTGTTATTGATTTCTCGATTTGTCACGGAGTTGTTACACCTGACAACGAACCCCCATTATCTAGAGTTGTTGAATGGGCTTCATAGGCGACTGGGTTATCCTGGATTACCGAATGAAGAATACTCATAACTTATGTCCTTGGATAATACTGCTTACTAGATCGTTCGTGATTTTTGATATAACTAATTCCACAAGATACCGCTTGTGTCACTATAACTATATCCCAACGCCGTTGTATATTCAGTCTCGTTCGTATTAATGTAACGTAACCGAACATGGGATTAATAAGCTGAACGCTCATCTCATTTACCAACGATTACCATGCCTCAATGCTTATAGCTGAGATACTGCGGCATCGTTGTATTTAAAACCAGTCAGCAAGTGATGGAGACAACAAAAGAGTAGCATACTGATTATCGATTATCGATTTATTGAGTAGGATGGTAACCTCGACAATTAAATCTGATAGCTTGCGGTACAAGGCGATCCCACACTATATATTAATATGATGTGAGCAGTTCTGTGCAACAATGTCGAGTATTTACTATGCAGGATCGACTTAAACTATGTTCGCGCAGAACAGAAAGCAGTATTTCAGAATACTTGGTCCAAATCGGATGGAACGATTGAATGCGAGGAAAGGATTTATACTAAAGAAGAGGGGTCGAGGAATGCAAAGTGCCTTGAAAATAGTCAGAGTTTTCATTGAATATTAGAATTCTGGAGATGTAATGCCAGAGCGGCAATAAGAATAAGGAAGAGTAGAAGCGTAAGAACTTTAATGTTAAGACAATTGAGAGGAGGATATACAAATCGTCAAATGTACGTTCAACAGCCGCAGAATAAAGAACTTGGTATGTTAAGGTTGGACCTGAATGACTCAATGACGGGAAAGATATTTTCTGGGTTGACACGTACTATCTTTATTATTCGTTTATATAACGTAGTATCAAGAAGCATTTGGGTGAATTTCAAACCCAAATTTTTGACTCCAAGTGGAGTGTTGAGTAATATGTATCATGTTAAGACAGAATCGATATCTGCAGTTGTTGCGCTGAACGAAAAGATAAAGTTAATGTGTTGAAGGAGAAACGATTAACAAGATTGATAAATAATATGTTAAACGGGTTGGCGTCGTGTGATATAATAATTGTAATTCGGTTCCTAAACATTTATGCTTGAGCGTTCTCGGATGATGAGACACACGTTCTTATAAAGACCATTTATTGGAAACTTTTTGGCTTATGGCGTTTTTTCATTAGACAATTTGCCACCGCAATCATATGAAACAAACAAGACATTATTAAAACTCAAACGAAACGATTATGTGCTTTTCATGGTTTAATTTTATTTAATATTATAGTAATTAATTTTACATGATGATATTTTTTTACATGAATAGGAATGAGCGTAGTTGGCATCCGTCTGCCAACCTTGGGATGTAGCCGCGTCCGAATCCGTACGTTTCCGTGATCCGTAGCCGAAATTGTCCTGTAGCCGAAATCCGTCATCATGTCCTGTAGCCGGAACCCGTCATCGTGTCCTGTAGCCGAAACCCGTCACCGTGTCACCGTTGCTCCTCCACACGTTTTGCTACTTTCGCGCTTGGTGAGGTTGAGCTTGTGTTGGAGTTTGAGTTGTAAAGCCCAACCTCTATGCGGTTTTTAAATAATAAATTTTAT